TTAAAAAAGTTTGATTTATGCAGATGTTAGATCAATAAAATTACTTTCCTGTGAAAAAGTAATATGGCATTTGAACAACATGATTTTACACATCAAGATATACTGAGTGAAAATTCCTGAAATGTTTTATTTCTTGGTATCTCACTGTGCAAGAATTGTATAAATAAGACTACCTCCCTTTTTTAAAAAAAAATGTTTAGTAAATACTATGAAGAAAATTGGTTACATTATTTACAGTTCATAATTAATAGAAAATAAATCATTTCTTAGCTTATCAGAATTTATTTTTATCACATTCATAAACAGTACTAATTTAAACAAACATACCATTATGATTTCAATAACTATGAAATAGAAAATCCAAATCTGCGTCTTTGATGGTCTAGTAGATTGGACGTCTCGTTTACTACAATTCAGCAGGGTGCTGACTCCCCAGACTGTAATATATATATATATTTAATTTACAAGGGGAAAAAGGAACAAAAATATCATTATTCTTCTACCAACAAAGAACATCCATTTGTAGCAAGAATGGCATAATTCCTTATTTTTTCCCTCTTATAGGGTGAAAGAGGAGAAGCAACGAGATACTGTCGGCCTAATTCATGTGTTCACGAATTATCGTCTATCACGTTTCCATACATTCCGTTTTTCTGAGGAGAAAATGCGAAAAATCCTCTATGCTGTCGCACGGATAAGAACCGCAGATCTTCCGACTGCTAGTCCGATCTACTATCACTTACATCAGAAGAGCCCTCAAAAAAGAATGAGATACTTTCTTATAATATATACGGATTTTATTATCATAAGACTGGAAAAAATTCAGGATTTATTTCATTTTTATACATTTTAAAAGAAATTCAATTTTGCAGAAAGTTAAGATAAAATATTTATTAGAAAGTTAAGATAAAATATTTATTAGAATGTCAAATTTAAGTATTTCAGTTATTTATATAATAAAGGATAAACTTTATATTTATAAAGAAGAATTGTTAATAACATCCCTTTGATTTTAGAAAGAAATTTATTTCAAGTGATATGTTTAGCTTAAAAGTAACGGGAGCAAAACTATGCTAAAACAAAAGGCACACATATCGTAATTATCTCCTTTAAATTAATGATATCTATACTGCTGACAAATTGTTACTTGACATGCCTACTACAATATTTACGCATAATTGATTCTTTCTAGACTAATACAGGCATAGCATATTTCTATGGAATGATTTGCTATAATTCCTAATTTAAGTTTCACATACTTTCATATTTAGGGAATTAATTACATAGCACTGAAGATTACTCAATGTATCATAAAAGATATGCTACCTGATTTATGTTTAAAATGACTAAATTTAAATGTCATATGCTCACAATGTACACATACTCCAGAAACCTGACACATTTCGAAATTTCTGATAAATCAAAATTACTGGAATATTTCATCAGAAAGCAATTTTTAAAATTTTGGTAAATTTCGTGCGATTTCGACATAAATTAGCCTGATCAACAAAAATGCAAAGCTCATGAGGCCCCTTAGAACGCAAGTGATTTAGGTCATTGAACCACAGTAGTTAAACCTGGCTCCGAATACTGAAGAACGAGCTAACTGTACGGATCTTTTCGTGATTTTCCCTCCATGTGTAACATTAACACAAGTAATTTACCCTTATAAAGTACCGCCCCCCCAAAACATTCTTTTCTTAAAATAGAGAGTCCTCGTATGTTTTGAGCTAAATGAAAGAAACATAAACAAAATTCGGATGCAGGAAATTCCCTGATGCATGAAACGAACGCGAACCAGTTTCCTATAAATCCTACTTGAAGGCATTTTTATCTTTCAGGTTGAGAGGCTTTGTCTGCTTTGTCTTTATTCATTGAAATCAAACAACAGTAAACAACGTCCCCTAATAACGACAAAAACCTAACATCGGGGAAGGAAAGAGGTGATAAACAGTTCTTAAGCGAAAGGCTCTTTGTAACTGTAAAGGTCCTACCTGTGGCAGCCGAATACTGGTAATTGAACCGGTATTCGATCCCAGGCGAAAATGTTGAGCGCATGATTTGTTTTCGTGGTTTTCCACCTGTGGATTGCCAATACGAGTCAGTTTTCCTACGAAAATCCTTCACGAAAGCATTCCTCACCTAATGCAAATAGCCCTCATCTACTCTGTCATATTCTAATAGCCTGACCTTTTCTACCAGACAGAAGAATCTCTTTTTTTAATGTATGACTCCTAATGGTGTCAAAAACTGAAGTTTTCTTTTTTTTTCCCCCTCTTCAATGCAGATCAATCGATGTTACTTTACATAAAATCTACGTGAATTTGTTTTTTTTTCCACTATTTATTTACGTGTTGGAGAGTTTTCATATCCATGAACTGAAACTTGATGCTGACAATGAGCTTCTCTCTATTATAAGCGCAGAATGTTTCCATATTAACGTTATCTGGAACGTTCAAAATTTAATATTTCGTGAATGTGATTGAAAGAAGTTTGCATGTAACATTAAATATGCTGCATATAACATTAAAACATAGTCTCTAGTTTCTAGAAGTTTACTGTCACTAGTTTTTCAAATACAAATATCGTTTATAATGTACATTAAAGTTGTATATTAACTTATAGTAGCAGGGAAAGAAACTCAAAAATCATTTTATTCAATTGTTTTGATCATTTCATTCAAATTCTACAGCAACTGACACTGAAATATTTACACGATGGCATTAAGATTGCTTGCTAATTAAAAATTGTTATTAATGTAACATTTTATTTTGTAACAAAAAAGCTTGCTTTAAACTGAATAATTATAACATTATGGAATATTGAATTTTTAGTTAAAATTTTAAGTTTATGAATTAAAACTGTGATAATTCACTAAATTTTCATAGACAAATACCTCAGCAATCCTTGTGAAAGTTAAAACGCAGTTCTAATTTAGAACTTAAAAATTTAAAGGTAGTATTAATAAATTTGACATTTGTGAAATTTTTAACAATTATTCAACCTGAATGACAATATAGTGCATTTCTTTTGAAGCAATTAGACTTGAGTCAAAGACTGAACTATTTTAAGGTGAAGCATTGTTATTAATAACCAATAAATAAAACAAAAATGCACATAATTTGACGTAATTGACATCCAACTTGGTAAAAAGTATTTCATTCTTATAAAAAAATTTTTTTAGGATACAATATTACTAATCGTGAAAGAAATGGGATGTGTTTATATTATTTGATAAATTAAATAGAACAATAGTAATAAGTATAATAATTTTAGTTGTAACAGAAATAAGTGCCTTTTTTTTATTTCTGACCCAACTTAATAATACTTTACACACCCAATCAGTTCGCAGGAAACATTTTTAAATATATAGTTTAATTTTCACAATCTCTACAGAAATTAATTTCAAATATTTAATGGAACTATAATCGTATAATAGACCTTTGTATTCATACATGTGATTATAAGAAGCATAACATGAAAATTAAATATTATTGTAGTGTTCCATAGAAACTTCCACAGAACATAAGTTGAAGGCTTTATGGTTCATCCCTGCGTCAAATAACCCGAGGGGAAAATTAGGAGGATCTAAGCTTTGAATACGCTTCAGTTTTACAACTCTCTCATCTTGAACGCTTAACAGACGGAAAACGAATGGGGGAAGAAATGTTTTTGCTGGAGGCAAAACCATTTTGAGACACCCTGAGTCTTGGAGGCAAGCCTGTTTTGAGGACAAAATTGAAACCTTTTGTGAGACATTTTGGTCTGTTTTCGACATCAAAGTGAAAACCGGCAATGTGTTAATACCAACCAAGATTCCACTAGCGATTCTTCTTGATTTAGGCAAGAGCTGTAGATAGTTATCAAACGAGTAGTATTTCATAGCATCCCTAGACAAATTTGCTCAAAAATAAGAAATACATCTATTTGTCGATCATTTAAATCAGTCATAAGCTGTGTTTTCTTTTCTTTTGAAAAACCACCTGCATTCCAATGGACAATCACTAAGCGCTGTTCGTCCTGAAAAGGACAGTTTGGAGGATCTCTAGGAGCCATCAACAAGCGGCAAAACTGTAGCAGATTTAGCGTAACCCAGGGTGGGCTACGAGGAGGCATGCTATAATACAACCTTTACTGGAAGGCAATATGAGGGTCGAATTACGGTTAGGGCTAGTATAGTGATCAATATCATTTATTAAATTACAATAACTCTTACAGTGATACAGGTGCCGGACAAAAAGGTTGCCAAACGATCGCCAAGTTTGTTTATTTTTGGCGATTCCTCGCCAAAAATAATTCTTCAAAACAGTTGTCAGCTCGGTGATATCTCGCCAAATTACCGAGGTACCCATTTACTCAATGCTAAACGACTTGCCCATGTACTCTTTCTTTTCTGGCATAGCTTGTCTCTTCGCGTCACATTACACAGAAAAATACAGTTTTACATATAATTGCACCAAAATCTATCTATGTACAAAATTCATAAAAGGATTGCACGTTCCGGGAAGCACATTCTTTGAAGAGGAAGCCATATTTACAACTAAGGCAAATCATGTAATATTAAAACTAAAATTTCAGTAAATAACAAATCAAATGCTATATCAGTAACTGAGTGCATACACTTACAAATTTAGGAAAACAATTACGATGGTTTTATGCTATTTACATTATATACACTACACTGACTACATAATATGGCCATAGTAAGAGCTAGCCTGTCGTAATGAACGACGTTAGGCTTAAAGTTTGCTAACTGACGGATCCTAACAGCAACGTCGTTTAGACTGTTTAAGACTGTGTAAAGATCATCCCAAGGCGACTGTTGTTTAGAACAGGATCCCTTTCGTCGAATCGGATTTCACAATCACACCTAGTTACCGTCGTTGAACTGATGTCCTGTAGCTCTCGTGTTACGTCCGGTCTTCATCTTCTCCGTCACCAAGTTGACTCGCTGTCGTGCAAAACTGGGCATCACTTCAAACCGCGCCTGGACATCTTAGATGTGCCCCTCAGACGATGAAGGCGCATCCGGAGGGGGACAAACAAGAGATCACAAGACACACGAAGGTCAGGACCGAAGAGCATCTGCGATGGGAAGAGCCAGTGGTCTCGTGAACAACACTGCAATAAGCCAGTAAGAACAATGGTAACTTCTTGTCCCAGTCCTTCTGGTTTCCCGAAACCACTGGCGAGAGGTTGTTCAGGATGGTTGCATTAGATCTCTCTAATCTATCGTCTGACTCGGTGTCTAAAGGTCTCGTTTCGGTTTTGTCGATGTCGAGTAGTTTGCAAAGTTCTTTAATTACATTTGAAGTAAATGTCTTTCTTGATTGGAATATAACTGGGGAGGCATTCCGAATTTTGAAATCCAATGCTGCATCATAACCTTTGCTACTCTCGAGGCCTCTGGATCAGATATATGATATTCCGAAGGCCAATTTGTAAAGTAATCACTGACAAAGAGGATGTATTTGTTAAAATCAATATTTCGTGGCAGAGCTCCCAGGATGTCAAAGACGATTGCGTTTGAAATGCGCTCCCTTTACATCGCTCTCGGACTCAATGTAACGTCTTCATTATTCCGAAGTGGCCTCCTGTTGTACTGCTATGTAATTCTTTAAGGACTTCCGGGATCCGGAATCTTGGAAGTATAGCTGCCCAAAGTATGTCTTTCCATTATCTAATTCGAACTTCCGGTACAAGACGCCGTTTCGAATATGGCTGTTTGATGCTTGAAGACACCATTAAATTAATTATGGGTTTAATGTCGCTGCCTTCCAACTGGTCTTTCCTGATTTTTTCATTATTTCATGGGTCTCGATCAGCCGATGGTGAAGTTGTAACTTATCGTGCGAGCAGATTCAGCAGCTCCTATTTTGCTTCGATCCTGTAACAATTTCGGCAGCTTCCTGTGCAGGGTCTTCCAGACAAGGCTTTGGCATTTCCAGGTGAGAATCCCTTCCGATGACGGATATATATGTCTTTAGAGGCTAAAAGCAGTTAGTTATTTTTAAAGACCAAGGAAAAATAAAGTTTCTTTTGAAAGTCCAATCCGGATGTGCAAGGATCTGTAATTTCTGCCATAAATGCAGTTTGATGGTAGCTGGAACTACCATCCAAAGTGATGTTTACTTTTAACTTTCCGTCAATTTCGATTACATCACCAGACGCAGTCTGGAGGATAGCACTTGGGGAATCCAAATGAGTTTATCTTTAAATTGTTGAACTAAATATTTCCGAATGACGGTAAAATTAGCTCCTGTATCGATGATGATATTTGCAAGGAACTCCATTGATATGCTCCATGATGAAGAGTCCATTACTGCCGCCACTCGCAGCAGAAATCTGAAGCAAGATCAGGCTTATCATTACCTTTCAAACTCCGCTCCGCGAGATGGTGACTAATTTGTTTCATACGTCGTTGCTGGGGAATGGTCTTATTTTCCGTGGCATGGGGTGTTCTACAATTCCTCCGTTAATGGCCTTCAACATCGCAGTTCTAGCCATTTAGGTTGGTTTCTTGTCACTCTTATTACGTCTCAAATCATTAACTTGTCCGTTTAAATCTTCTGTCTTATTTTCCATACCCTATGGTCTACTGCAGTTCCTTCGTAGGGGGTCTTCAGCACCACAGTTCCAACACTTTAGAGTAGGTTTCTAATCACTCCTATTCCATCTCAAGACATTGACTTGCCTGGTTAAATCGTCTAGACAGGCAGTCACTTGATCCGCAGGCTCCTGGACATGAGCAGCTGTGATTGGGTGGCGGTCTGTACGAATTGCTTGCTGGGCTGTACCGCATTTCAGGGCGTACACCACAGCGCTTTTTAAATCCTTAGAATCCGCAGTTCGTAGAGCTTTTTGTGTTTCAGGATCCTGGATGCCATCTATTGAAGGGCACACCAGCGGCCGAACGGAAAAGTCGCTGAACACTGGTAGTTCGGTCCGAGGTTCGAATTCCGCGAACGGGGTGGCTACATGGGCGTTTTCATGGTTTTCCCATGTGTAACGTGTATACGAGCCAATTTCTGTTAGAAAGTCCTCCACGAAGGCATCCCTTCCCTTAGGCAGATAGCCCTAGTGTGCTTTGCCATAATTAAATAAACCAAACCAGTCATCTATTGAAGCACTGCAGCGACCGGATTTCCCTTGTTTCTCTCAGACATTTTGAAAAGGTGAGGTGATATGGCCTTTAAACATCCGTGGTGAGCTGCTTGAGAGGTTTCGTGGGCTTCTGTTGACGAGATTTTATTCGAAGTCTGCTGTAATCTTTAAAACACTTCTCCCCAAAGTGCAGCTCCAACGCGCTGGATCCCGCGAATTCCAGCCCCTGGTTCCAGCCCCGATTCCAGCCCCGATCCTTCGAAAACCCAACCCCTGGTTTTCGAGAACAGTCTGAAGGATGTCCGCTGCGTCTGCTCTCAGAGAATCGGCGAGATGACAGTCCTCAGCTTGGGAATTGTACCCATTCGCGTCCGCCACTATAAAAAATTTTGTCTTAGACACTACTCAGGAGGTCATACCATCATATGTCGATAGTTTCAGAGAGGGACGAGAAGGCATGAATAAAAATTTAAAACCCTCAAATTGCTTCATGTTTTCCCTAGGCACTTCTTTGTGGTGTAAACTTCTTTGATGACGGCAGCAGAAACCCTATCATCAATTTGTTACTCGATTTGTTGTTAGACGGCAGTAGTAACCCTGTCATCAGTTTGTTGCTGGATTTGTTGTTGGATGGCAGAAACTATGCCTTCTATTCGTTGCTCCACAGAAGAAACTTTCTCTTCTATTCGTTCTTTCACAGAATAAACTCTTTCTTCAATATGTCCAACGTTATTTTCAGTAGTGTCTATTCTGCCTTCCATAGCCTCATATGTTTTTTTTCTATTATGCAGGTAATTTCTCTTTTCATTTACTCTTCACCTGCTTCAATCTTTTTTTGACTAGCTACCATCCTTTCTTGAATAGCTTACATTTCTCATTAACGGATTCTTCCATCTTTTTTGAACGGCTTCCATCTCTTGTTTAACAGATGCTTGTCCAACTTGCATCATTTCTCCTACAGATTTCATCACTTCTTTAACGGAGTTGCCTACCCCTTCCATCTTTTCTTCGAATGCAACAAAGACAGTCGTGAGCTATCTTGTATGCTCCTCTATCGTTCTTCATAGGCATTCAGTCCCACTTCAGACATGAAAACATTTTGCGTGCGTACGGGTTCGTTACAATTTTAACGCATATAGGTCCAATGGTAAGTAGTTAAAATTTATATTATGAAAAGAAGCACTTCAGAGATACGGAACTTTCCACACAAATAGTTGGATAGCTCTTCACAATATTACAGAGTGCAATCAGTAGTTACATTTCAAACTGCTATGAACGTTAAACACAAAGAATTGTAAAGCGCAGCTAAAGAGAAATCTACCCTTCGAAATCTCAGTGCTCCAAACTCACGCTGAGCTAACGGCTAACAAGAACAACTGAGAGCAGATGCTTTCATCGCCTAATATAGTTTTCAACCGGCCGTCGAGACATTTCTAGTATTCTCTGCTTTTCGAAATTTTTAAATGGAAGGCAATATGAGGGTCGAATTACGTTTACAGGCTATATACTGATCAATTACATTTATTCAATTACAGTTCCTGGGACCTGACAAAAATGTCGCCAAATGTTCGCCAAGCTTGACGACTTTGGGCGACTTCTCGCCAAATTTGACTACAAAAATAAGTCGCCAAAACCGTTGTGAGCTTCGCGATACTTCACCAAATAACCAAGACACCCATTTACTCACTGTTAAATAGACTTTTCCCTATGTTCTTTCTTTTTTGATTCTAGGTTTCTAGATACGATTCCATTAATTGTAACCGCGGCATATATTCACTCTGTCCCATCGACAGGTAATACCATTCTAACTTATAGTGTTAAGCTATTAGCTTTTAATTTATTAGCTATCTTTGAGTAACTTTAACAGACTGTTAGACGACGCGGATTCTCGTCTGCCTTCTGACTGAAAAGATCGCAACTAAACTAAAAGTTAAGAATAAAATTGTTTATTAATATATGAATCTGAATGCTACATAAACTAAATAGATAATAGAAACTAAACTCTGCTAGCGTGCGAGTAAGCAAAATGCAATTTAAACTAAATCCAGTACAGAAGACGAAAAAACAACATGTAACTAAACCTTAATTCACCCCAATTAAGCGCTCACAAAGAAATTTTGGCAGGCAGAAACTTATGCCGACCAGTGAAACTTCAGTTTTAGGAAAGCTATTACAAAATGGCGACCAACTTAGGCTGCCATGGGAAACTTCGAATACAGAAACTCATTCATACTTCAATAGTTTGTATTTTAGTGGAATTTGGCGAGAGTTATGGTAAAGCCAAATTATCAATAATCTGGATTAATTAGAGTAAAATCGTATAAACTTACTCTGCCAAAGTTACAACGGATTCCTTTCTTTTGTGCCTTGGATGTCAGCGTTGCTTAGTCATACCAGATTCTAAAGAACCACATTTTATCTGCTATAAACTGTCGGGAGGTTTTACCACTAGTATATTAATTACTCTTTGTATCCTCTCTTTAGAGAGATGGAAACAGTGTTAGCACATGCACGTTGCCCCCCTGGAAATACCCATAATCCCCAAATTTAATTTTGTTATTAGAAGAATCAGCTATGACCATAAACTAACCAAGTATTCATATTTTTCACCAGTCACCTTCCTCTGACCATAGTTTCAGTACAAAGTGAGCATCCTTTATGAGTAAAAGAAGATAGTTATGTTATAAAGATATAAAATGAATTAAGATATTGGCAAGTTTCAAGCTTATTTGGCTTGAAAACAAACGGAAAGGTCTTGTTTCTTCATAAGCAAAATATTTCAGTTTTAAATGAAGAATACGAAAGTTAAAAAGGTTTTTAATTTTTAAACTGAAATATATCAGTCGCTCTCACTTGAACTACTCTGCGAGAAACAGAGAGAGAGGTCTTAGTCCTTCAAGAGGAAATACTTAATTAAAATACTTTTTAATGTAAAAATGCAAGATTTAGTTTGTTCTTTCAGATGGCCGGACACTTGTCACTTAATCTATTTGCGGGGAATAGCCAATACCAATTGGTCATTTAGCCTTCTCTTCAGCAAAAGTGTAGCCCAGCGAACATCACAGAGGATAGGTCGGTTTTATACGCTTGAGAATGTTGAAGTCCGCCTCGGAGTTGATGGAGTGTAGTCTGGAAGGGAGGAACCTACCATGAAACCTCTCGAAAGGGCTTAAGGCTCGCCAATATTTTAAAAACCTTCATGCGGCAAGATAATTGAAAGGAAAGTAATAAAACTTAAAAAGCCTTGGTTAGTAAATAAAAAAGTAAGCTAATTTTCTGTACTTCACTAAAGAATGTATTCACCTTAATTAGGAAGAAGTATGAATCTGAAATCTAGAGCATGAAAAAAATGCGCTATATGTTTGTAAAATAGAACTTGGCAGTATGGTTGAGAAAAATCCGTTATATGTGATAAGCGTAATATCTGTAAATTGATGAGTCCAAAGGGGCTTTGTCCCTGAAGCAATATTGTTTTCGTTTTGCGATTTTGCGTCGGAACCCTATAAACGGCGTATCACTTTCCAAATCTTTGCCACCAAATACTATAGTCTTGTATTATATTTGAAGAAATTAAATAATGAAGAATCTGCATAAATGTATGTATGTTTCTTTCATTGTGATAAAAAAACGGTACCTATAGCCATCCAATTTTGAATGACGTAATCCTACTGCGAATATGGGCATCTGAAAACCCAAATTTGAAATTTGGAATTTGTTTTATTATCGATTTCATATTTTGTAAATCTTTAGCGAATTTTTGATTAACAAACTCAACGATTTAAAAGCGAGCAATATCAACACTCTACGGGGGGGGGGACCTTTTTATCTTCAGCGCGCGGAACTGTGTATCGCAAATTTTAAAGATATGCTCATTTTAAAATTATTTTGGGACATTGCTGTTGAACTGAATTTTGCGGTTAAAGTGCAAAGAACATGGTATTTAATAAATAAATGTAACGCACAAAACGTTAAAAAAACGCCGCTTTGGACGTAATTTAAAATCTGAAACCTTTCAGATTTTTTTTAAAATTATTTTTCTTTTGGTAGTGATTTAAATACACTTATGATGAAATGAAGTTAGAGGTACGTTATTGCTTCTAAATTTACTAAAGAAAAGAAACTATTCAAGACAGATATGAAATAAAGCAATTTTTAGAATTCTAAAAAATGATTACTATTTTGAGGAAAGTTAAATAAAAGAACATTCAGTGAATTTTTCACGCTATCTGCGAGTGTCATTGAAATCTTGAACTCTTTGAAACGATTGAATAAGAATAAAGCTTACTTTGTCGACGACAAATAATATTTGATAAAATATATTTATTTTGTATTACTCATTTTTCTCTATGCCACTTTTATAATTAGCTCTAGGTCTGCTAGATTTACTGGACTCGTTAAAGCAATTGCCAGACGAGGAAGTTCAGCTTCAGTGTTCAGTGTTTGTGAAATCACAAATGGCGGATGAGGACCACGCTCGATGCCTTGGACTACAGTCTTCTTTTTCTCACTTTGCTGTCTTTCAAGCTTTATTGGATAAAGTACGGGCATTTAATTCTAATTATTACTTGCAATTATAAGTGCAGTTTTAAATTCGTCCGAAATTTCAGCTTGCAGATGGAAAATGATTAGGTGATGAAAAAGGTTTTTATATGCTGAAATATATTGTAATTTTCTAACTTAAATAAAGTTGTTTAATTGTTAGAACCTAGCAGAAATGTATAGCCACTATTCGCTAAGTTCTTATAGAGTAAATAGACAATTCCGAAGAAGGGTTAAATTACGCTTTTATTTGAACACAAGATATTTACATACGGCCCATCTTCAGCGTACAGGAAACCAACACTTCTGGCTTGAAATTAAAAGAGAAAATGTAATTCTAAACAAAACTAAACAGCCCGAGCTCCAAAGAGTTTTTACCGCGTAGTTGGATGTTATCTAAAATTCACCGGCTTAGACTAATAGGCATGTAATAAGCACGACGTTAAACTAGAAAACTTTAACTCTTAACAGCAAGGCGGTCAAAAGGCAGTACACGCTGTCTTTCTCTCTTTAACTAAAGTACCTCAGACTTTAGTTGAAATAGTAGTTTCTCCATGTTGCATAGAGCGTGAAAGTGAAAATTCATTCATAGCATATGCATCGGTATGCATAGGTAGGAAAATGAGAGAGTAATGGAAAGGCTTTCTTAAAATCAAAATAACTATTTTAAAATAAAGTAAAACCCTACAATTTTCCCCAAGAGAATTTAAATAATCGAAAACTAAGGTCTTCAAAAAGCCTAGTTGCTTAATATTCTTTGCAAAATTTCGCCAACAATTCTCATTTTAATTCTCCAAAATCTGAGTTTTTTCCGACTAAAATCAGCAATATATTAAATTATCGCGGACATGCGAAACCAAATTCAATTTTCTTGCTTTTGACAACTTAACAAAAATGATCTCTCAAGACGTAAAACTGAAATTACATAGTAACTTCTGCACATGTTATAAAATCAAAGTGAGTTTTCTGCTAAAAGGGAAAAAAATTCACTTATCTTTTTCTCCAGTGAAGCCCGCTATTCTTTAAGTCAAGAACTACTCCCCCGTTGGCTAATTTGATAGTTGTTGTAGTCTTATTCTCCTTTGAGGCCGATCTTCAGAATACAGTGGAGGATCCTTCTGTTTAGTACCTTTCCCGATAAATCTTCCATACTTCTCCGGGTTTGTGGGAATCGGAATTCTGGCCTCCTTTGAAGTCTTCGGACTCATTCTTGCTGTCTGGGATGGGTTTCCTTCTGGAGCTTCCTCGGGATTGGCTATCTTTCGCTTTCCTTTCGTCGTCTGCGGTGGAGCCGGGAACTCAGCTGGGCGCTTGTAACTCGCACTGCGACGGGAAGGGACTTCGATGACTGGCGCTTGACCATTTCCAGTTTCTCTTGGAACCCGTTACGCTAGTTTTACATTGATGTTTGGTGGATGCTTTCTCTTTGTTTGGTTCCTCAAAGCTGGCTTAGGCTTTCTTTGTGATTCATGCCCTTTACCCCGTTGAAGTGTACTTTCTCTCTCTTCTGGCGCTGATCTGGGGAGGAAATTGCAGTTCTCTGGTTCTCTGTCATGTCTATGATGAAGCTTATTCAAATAGTGCCATGGGCGAAGATGACAGCTTCATTTTTTGAATCTTTCCATTGCGTTGAAAAGGGATGTGACTCTAAAACTTTGGAGTCACATCCCTTTACCATTCCTTCCGGTATAGTTTCCATAAAGCTGAATTCTATCATTATCTGTGCACCTCGCTATCGTGTTAGAAACCTCCTAGATGAGCTTTAAAAGGACGGTAATGGATATTTTAAGTGGCTGCAGCACTCCAGTTATCTCTCTTGCCAACTCCATAAAGTCATTTTATCTTCTCCTCCTTCGTTTTCTTTTTAATGTGTTTCGTCGTCAAATGATCTCGGAAGCTGTCAGCAATCGACATGGACGCTAAAACACACTGATTTCCACCAAACTATATAGAGGTCTTCTGTGATCCAAACTTGATCATGTAAAGCTAGAAACGCTTTACATGGTCTCTCCCTCTTCCTCGGAATTACTTTATCAGTCCTGCTCACCTTGTCAAAGTTATATATTGTCTTTAAAAATTAACGGCAATAAAGGTCTGTGCTTTATTCATGGTTTATATCTTACCGCATTTTAAACTCACGCTTTCTTTTTTCAAATGTTCAGAAATATGCTGAGAGGCGAATTAAAATTTCTATAGCCGTTTTATACCATTTTATTGAAATCATAGACCTTCGATAAAATTTAAATAAATATTAAAATAAAAAAGTGTTTTACTGAACATAAAGCGATGTGTTTTATAGAAAAGCGAATTTACTTAAAAAGAAACTGCAACAGCTTTCTGTTTTTTGTAGAAATAAAGCTCATACCTTATTCCTTTTTATAGGTGGAAGATACTCCACTATCTGCATCATTTTTAATTGTGCTTCAAAACCTTAATCAACTGGAACCAAATGATTCGAAAACGTAAGTAATACATTCGTTGTATCAAGTATATAATGTTGTATGTAATGTATTAAAAAAGGTATCTGGAATAATTTCAAGCCTATTTTCTGATATTTTGCATCTCTTAACTTAATGTAAAATATTAACAGGGGCTTATGTATTGAGAAATAAGAGGAAAGCTAACTCAGTAGAACTGTTGATAAAAGTACAGATACCTACTTATTCTGGTCTGTTCTTTATTGTTTTATATGATATAGATAATTTAACATGTTAGTTTTATACAGTAATATTCATGCAGGAAAACATTCATTCAAAAATGGATAGTGCATAATTTGTACAATATCCATTGTTTTTTCAATTCGCTGTTTATGAAATATAATGCAAGCTTTTTAATTCATTTCATGTACTTCTAATGCTTAGGAAGTACGTAATATACTTAAGATTTTTAATTCAATCTCCTGTGCTTTATCTATACATATATAATATGAGTAGATACTCTAAATGCAATAAATTATCTGTTACAGGGATTACGTTTGGAGCATTCTAGAGGAAATAACTGAAAGAGCTGTTAGTAACGCCAGCGCGTTATTGAGGAAATGGATGCTCATAGAAAGTCGTGAAAATATTTTGAAATCCAAAACAACTCAAACGACTTTTTGTCTATCTATAGAAGATACAATAATGCGTAGAAGAGAAGTAAATAAAGAAGAAGGTAGTATGAAGTCGTTTGGCTCTCTCGATTCTGGCGTACCAGTGTCTAGAAGTCAATCATTTGCAAGCAGTTGTCCTCGAAGTCCTACATCTATCCAAGATTCTGAACTCGAGAAGAAAGTTTGCGCTGATAAAAAGGAAAAGGTTCAGCAGTCGGCACTTACGAATGGTTTCTTTAAGATATTTGGATTTCATTTCTCATCCACGCGAAGGTCTAGTGTAAAATATGAAACTACAAAAGACGCTTCTGAAAAGAAAAAGGAGGAAAATGTTTGTTCAAAAAATGATATGTCACATTTCAGATCCGAGTCACCGATACCACAGAATGATCCTTCAGCAGACGAAGCTAATAAGCAGAAAAGGACTTTCTCACTTCCATTTTTTAATAAATCTAAAAAGTATTCTTTGCACAGTTCACCTCCAACAGTAACTATCCAATCTCCGTCTCCAGATATACGAAACTCAAAGAACTGTAGAGATGGTATGACCAGTATGGAAGTCAAAAGAACTCGCAAACAATTTCATTACTCGAATGGAAATCTGTGTGATAGTTTCTCAGACACATCTGGAGACGGGGACCTCTCTTCGACTTCTTCTGAAAATAGTTCAGCAAGGCAGTATTGTGAAAATAATGATGCTAATGAGGTGGCGAGAAGTGATAAAGAACAGAATGTGTCTGCGAGGGTAGGAGATTCCAGAAAACCAGAATTCCCAGTATTGCAAAAACAACTTTATAAATCGGTTTCGAGCCTATGCCATTCTCCGTCTTCTGTACCTCCACCTCCTCCACCTCCACCTCCACCGCCTCCTCTGACACCGGTACTAGACTCACAAATGAGACAAAAATCTCACACTTCACTGGACCTTCCTCGAACGAAAGGCATACGATCATCATGGTCCGAAGGTCACTCGAATAAACAATTGAAAAATTGGGATAAGAGGACGATGTACAACACTTTGCCTAGACCGAAAGCTAAAATGAAAACTCTAAACTGGGCAAAAATACCAAGTGCTCACGTAAATGGTGAGTTTGAAACCTTTTATAGTTAGAGGTAAGCGATAATCGATCTTTCAAATGCTTTGAAATGATTCTTTTACTCGGTTATTTCATTTATAAAATTTTAATTCTGTATTGCAATACATAAAATAGTTTTAAACTATGTGTATATAATGCACTTGTCAAATTGCTTTTTATTTCCTGTGCAGTATAAAACAAAAATAGAAAAGAAAAAAAGGTGAGAGGCATTGGGTCTTTGAGTAATGATTTGGACTGAGATGGATATAGTGACAGAATATACTTTAATTGCCAGTATGTATACATGAATATTAAAGGTAATTCTCACCCATCTGGATGCAGTGTCTTCATTTCGCACAACATTTTCAGGTGGCTTCGAAGTAGCACTGATTGACAGCCTATTGCTATTCCTCGTTGCTGGCGAATGCTTAACTACGAACTTTCTCTTTAATCGTATTGAGAGGGGAGCGGTCCGATGCAAAACTTCGTAGCATATTATCATTCGTTATTATTTATGCAGGTCAATCCATCTTTGGGATACAGACTGAATACAAATTTCACACAATTTCAAATCATCACGCATTATTATTTGAGGAGTGCCAGTAACCGGTCCCATTTATCGGTTGATCCTGTACGCTGTGTTTCCTTCCTTAAAGTATCTTGTTCTTTCGTAACTTTATTTCAGATACCTTCTGGACAGTTTACGTAATTCAACATAAAATTCAATAGCGATCAACGGTACCTTTCTCTTTTTTTCTCCTTGATGTAGAGAACAGTGGGGGCATAAAGCACCTGGACAACAGGTCAAACACTGCAAATATCTCACACACAATTATCAACCACAGTGTGTATTTCTCTATGCCGTCTTCATTTGGTAATTTGACTCAAACACCAAGAAATCCTTTACCGCTTTTATTGGAGGAAATAGGCTTCTTTTCTTTTACCTGGGAAGATTTTGTATAAATTGCTGTTCCAGTATGAGAAATCTCTCCTTCAAACTGGTTCTGGGAGAAATTATTTCTAGAAAACGTTTCCTCTCGTTTCTCGCGTCTCTCAGTCTGATCAGTCCCTCAGTCCGTCTTGTCAGTCCTTTCTGACCGAAAGCCGTTGCTTCCGTTGCTTGCTTTGCTACTCTGAAGTCACGAACTAAGACAAAAATAGACCGATCATAAAATGACTTTTTAAAGTTAGCTCTGCTTAACACTTATGACTGGAAAACATTGCTTTAGTATTGCGTTATTTTAAATGTTTTAGCAAATTATATTTTATTCGAAGATCAGTCTTATTACGTTAACGTTATTCAAAAAAATTTTCAGAATAAAGAATAAAAGAGTTTTTAAGATTTTAACTGAGTGATTTTATGTAAAAATGTCTCCCGCATTTAATAAATTCCCTTATAACACGGTTGTTATATAAACATCTTAATGCTTTTATTTTGTTCACAGTTTGTGCACCTAATATCCTTTATTTTTCATTGGATATTAATAATCTTTATTTCTCTTTCTCAGTTTGATTTAAAGTTAGCTTTAGGAAATAGAAACTGGAAAATCTTAATGCCATTTAGCTAAGCAGAAATATCATAGAACTTTCTTTTGATGTGTATACATATACTGTAAATTCTTAATGAAATTCAGAAGAAAATATAGGCGAACTGGAAGAGAAAGGTAAACATTTTGTTTACTGATTATGTTTATGCTTAAAAGGAATTCTCAAACACACTGTCAACGTGAACTGAAATGCATTATAGTGAAATGTTCATGCCTAATACAATGTTTGAAGTATGCATAATCATGAAACCCATTTTATAATTGATATACATATAACTCTGTATTTTTCTCGAATTTTATAGGCAACGTTAGTTTCATGAAATATTCGAACAAAAGTGTGTACTGAACATCAATTACGATGGCATCTTTTACTATTATTGTTAATGTTTTAGTTAATTCAACGTCATGTCTTTCCTTTATTCATGTATTTATTATTTTTTAATCAAATTTCTTCTCTGTATTTCTGAGAGCAGAGCGTAATCTGTCCAGAAAACACTTTATTTCCATAGTTTTTACATTTACCTAGCAGAAGTAAATTATTAGATCGTATTAAATTTAAATAATACATTTTAACTTCATTTTGGTACAAAAACCAGTAAAGTAACTAATAGCATTGCAGTCAGTCTTGTCCTCTCACTCTTGCATTTCGAAATTTTTACTTTTCAGCTTAAAATGTCTAAACCTGCTTTTTCTGCTGTTTGTTTTGTATTTGCTTAGCTCACTCTATATGGAGCGAAATAAACTGCGAAAATCAGGATCCAGAGCTGAATTTTGAAGAAGTAGAAAGGCTTTTTTGCCAAGTTGAATCAATCAACAAGTCTCCTAAAAATACACCCAAGAATGGCAACGGACAGAAGAAGAACAGCACGGTATTTTACTGATCTTTAAAAACTTAAATTTCTATTAAAAATATGCAGCAAATATAAATATTAATTGCTTTGTTCTCTGTTGTAAATTTATCAAAAAACGCAATGTACTTGGATCATACAGAAATGATTGACACAACGGCTCTCACAGCGAAACTATTACATTAAGCGAAGAGAAAACAAATGAAATAGACACAAGGGGACGTGAGCTACTTAGAATGCGTAGATGGAGCTGGTCGCAAGCGAACGGTATAAATCAGCGCTCGTCCCTGTCGGCGTCGTCATTGAGAGCGTGGACAGCAATGATGGAAGGAATTATCACGGTCAGCGTTTATCAGAGTGGTTCCTATAAGAGGAAGGGATACAGGGTAGTGAGATCCATCGTCGCATGGTGTCGGTGTGCAGGAATAAAGCACCTTCAAGGTGTACGGTTTCCCGTTGGTTGGCCAAGTTCAGCAGTGGAGTGGAGACCGCAGTCAAAGGTATTAGCGCAGGCCGACAAGCAACATCGCATACAGCAGCAAATGTGGCAGCTGTGTCGGATTTGATCATGGCGAACAGACGCATAACGTTCAACAAGATGCAGGAAGAGACAGGACTCGCGCAAGGACCATTGAATGCGATTGTGCATGGGTGATTTGGATATGACAAATGTGTGTGCAAAGTGGGTGGACCTCGGACCTCGAACCAAGACCTCGGACTAAGCCTTGCTTAACAAGATGAAGGGCGCAATCAGTAGACAACATGTTGAATCTTCTGCCGAATTGCATGCAATTGTCCAAAAGTGGTGCACCAACATCCCCACAGACTGGTTTACCAAAGCCATTCGGAACCACCCAGTCATATGGCAGAAGAGTATTGATATGGGCGGGGTTTATTTCTAACTGATGTACTATCAGTTTTTTGTTAATAAATTGTATTCTGCTCTGTGGCAGCATTTGTGTCATTCATTTCTGTACGACGTAAATATATGACTCGTTTAATATGTTGCAAAAAGAGACGCGGAGCAGATTTCTTATTATTCGTGTATACAAATTGCTATGTGCTAGACAGAAAGCTGTCGTTATGAGAAGGCGGATGTTTCAAAACCGAAAGGTAGTTAAACAGGACATGCCATATATTACATACTAAAATTTATGGGATAAAGTTTTAGTCATAATTATGTCGGGAGTTACTGAGTTTCTGTTCTTTCGCAGATGACCAAAACAGATCGTGAGGATCATGATTAGCTTATAATGACAGATCTATAATCATTGCAATAATTCTGCTGTATGAGACGTAAATGCATATCAATCCATTTTTCAATAGTATTGTTACAAATCTGGAATATATGTAAATAATTTTAGTGAAAATATATGTAACATTGTGGTACCTCTTCTATAATGTAACATGTAATGCCTGAAAAAAAACGAATCTCCGACGGAAAAAGTAAAGTTACAGGAGCAAGTCCGTTTAATATTGAAGTAAATGGCCATCTTGCTAAACTGGAGAAATATCGCCAGGCTGGTGATGGTTCTGGCGACTAATTTTTAGTAGCAAATTTGGCTTGAAATCTCCAAAAGTCGCCATACTTGGCGGCAATTTAGGAACATTTTGATCCGGTCTCTGTATAATTATAATTGGTACTGTAATTGATACCTATATGTAACTGTAACCTTATCCGAACCTTATATGTAACTTGAGCCGTATATGCCTTCCAGTAATTTCCAACACTGGAAAATAATGGCGATTTGTCGGCGGTCGGGGAAAGCTATATTAGACCGAAGAGAGCATCAGTTCTCAGCTGTTAGTTAAAAGTTGAGTTCGGAGTACTGACAGATATCCGTGCGAGATTCGCTCTTTTAATGTGCTTTGCATTACGTTGTGTATATCCTTCTTAGTAATTTGAAGCCGTAACTACTGATTGTCCTCTGAGATACTGAGAAGAGCTGTAGGAATACTTTTGTGAAAAGTCCCAGAACTGCAAAGTGTTTCTTTTCGTAAAATAAATCTCGCTCTTCCCAATGCTTTTAAATTTCTAATACTTTCACATTTCATTACTACTTTGCTCAACACATAACACTACATTCATTCCCGTATAAAGTAGTTTTGCTCCTCCCACTAATGAAATTTCCTTTCCCTATCAGGAAGTAGAGTGATTCGCCCTACTCCTTGCCACACTGGAACTACTTTTTTATCTAAAATGCTATTTACACCCTCCAGAATGGTATTTACAGGTTAGGCATCGCATATTTATTAATCTGGGATAGGGCTACAGCACAAAAACTCGTACCTCGTGGCCTGCGGCCACCTAACAGAAATAGATTTGGTTTATGTAATTACGGCAAAGCCAGAGGGCTATCTGTCTAACGGGAGGGATACCTTCGTGGAGGACTTTCTAAGGAAAACTGGCTCGTATATATGTTACACATGGGGAAAACCACAAAAACACCCATGCAGCCTGTCCGTTCGCGGGATTCGAAATTCGGACCGAACTGCCAGTGTTCAGTGACTTTACCGTTCGGCCGCTGCTGGCCCTAACAGAAATAGAGTGACCATTTTACTTAATATATAACCAGTCTCTTCCAATAAAAATTGTCTTTTTAGGCTAGAACTTTATAAATGCATTTAGGGAAATGGGCATCAAAAATTTCCCTATTACCATGTAGCTAAAACAAAAACGAGAAAGAGAAGGAATGAAAGAGGAGAAAATAATTAAAATTAATGAAAAGTCAAATGAAAATTTATACATTTTTAACAGATATTGAGAAAGTTACGTTTTATAAGAAAAACATGAAACAATATAACATATTATATTGAAAATTACACATCGCGACTTTCAAAATAGATTACAGGTGACGGAGGACTGGGACGCCTGGTGTTTAACATTGGTAAACAGGCGTATGTTCCGCGCCCTCCACTGTCTAGAGACAACAACTCCCAGGAACACTGGGGGTTCATTTGGATCATAAATAAATTTGTTACATGGCCATACAGGGGCTATAATTGATGCAAGACATTGTGTGGGAAAGTAGTACATATGTTATATATATATAAATTACAAACACATTAATATACACATTAAAATCAATTAAAAATATGACATGGAACACATAAAGCACAAATTACACACAAAAACAAACGATACATATCAAACAATGCTAAATTATCCCAATGATTAAAAGCACATAAGAGATCTTTAAGAATCAAAAAATGAATTTTACTGATAGGTGAAAAAATAACTTAAATATTGGACTTATGGATAAGTCGAGAAATTTTGTAATTCATAGTAAGTTTAAATAATTATTGGGTACGTGTCAGCTAAACGTCACTGTCGGCTTAGTGTCTTGTTGACTAAATGTCTTGACAGTTAAGTGTTCCGCAGGTAAATGTCCTGACGGCTAACTCTCTGTGTCGGGCAAATGTCCTGCCAGCTAAGTGTCCTTGTCGGCTAAATGTCCTGTCGGGTAAATGTCTTGGCTAAGTGACCGTGTCGTCTAAATGACCTGTGGGCTAAGTATCTGTGTCGGCTAAATGCCCTGTCGGCTAAGTGTCCGTGTCGGCTAAATGTCCTGTCGGCTTTCTGGTGTCGGTTAAGTGTCCCGTCGGCTAAGTGTCACGGACTCTTTAATGAGTTTTAATAAGGGATGTGAGTTCCCCTGACCAAAAGCAGTGTTGCACGCCTTTGAGGCAAGGAGCCACTGAGATTGTCAATGTGGGACTGGGTCATTGTCTTCTGCTCCCTTAGAAGAGTGGTTTCTAGCTGCTGAAACATTTCTAAAGGTTATGCGTGATTAGAAACCATTTCCTCTAAAATGTTCGAAACATCCTTGAGGCGTCAGTGATCCATTTCTAATTATGTTTAAGTCGATATAGCCACTAATAGAGATACAGGTACAGACCATCACTCCATCTCCGACAAATGGGGCAGTTTTGTTTATAAATGATAAATTATTCCAAGTGCCATAATCTCTCCAGTAGATGAAATGTGACAGTTCAACAATACGCGGTGTGCGGCGTGGTCAGTAAAGTTCCCGAAAGGAAGGTTACGTCATGCATAAACGAGGAAAGGGTGGAGATTTAAAGTGAAGGAGTTCGCATGCTGCTGCTGTGGAATTAAAGATATGTGAATGGCAACAATGAAAATTTAGATTTTATCGAGTGGCACCGGCAACCGTAGTTATGGCTACCGCGGGTTACTATGACGACTCACTAGTGTAATCTCGAAGTCACAGTTTGATAAGAGATCTTTTACTGATTTACCGGATGTAATTTCCTTTGTTAAATTTTTAACCTTTGTATTATTCTTCGTATCCCATCCATTTTACTACGTGTGTGATGGTTATTTCCTAGGTATCCTTAACGGCGCTTATTTTCGAATTTAATGATTCATTCAGAAGGCCTTAATTTTAGATGTTAATTTTCAATTTTTCCGTATATTTTAATCCTCATAATTTCCTAATATACTCAGAATTTTATATTGTTTCTTAAATTTTATCTTCATATACCACATTTACTTACCGGAATCTTAATTACATTACAAATTTTTATTACTAAGTTAATTTTATCCAGAATTATTTTCATATCTATTAACAATACTTTTAATGTTAACTTACTTTGTAAAATATTTCTCCCGCCTTAGTATGCAATCGTGGTGTAGTGGTCAGCACACTCCGCGCGTATTCGAGAGGTCCGTGGTTCGAGTCCTGGTGAGGGCATTGTTCATTTTTCACGTCTATCAGCATCAACAATCGTAATGTCTCTACAGTGGCGCCTGAACTAAAAAAAGGGTGATGAATTATGATTCTCCACCACCAGGATTTGGCGACTAAGGTCCCCTAATACCCAGGCGCCCTTTAAAATGGGAACTATATAAGGTATTTCTCCTGCCTTTGTGGTATAGTGGTCAGTACACTCGGCGCGTATTCGAGAGGTCCGTGGTTCTGGTCCCGGCTAGAGCATTGCTCAATCTTCACGTCTCTCAGCATCCAAACATCCTATACATCTTGTTACATTTTACAACT